ATATGAGAATATGAAAAAATGGAAATGAAGTGTTTGTAAAGAGGGAGGAGAGGAGAGGTGAAGTGAGGGCAGGGACAAGGGGAAAAAATGAGAACCAAGACCTGTCATGTAGAGATAAGATCTCAATAATGAATGTAACTGTACTGTATACCTAAAATGTACCAATAAACTCAATGAGGGAAAAAAATGTTCATAAGGTCACAAATGCCAAAGCTAGCTGTGTGCACTTTTAGGGCAGGTATGTCATGCAAGACTGTAGTTCAAGTTGCTATGGAGGCATTTATCATTATGAACTGAATATATGAGAAAACACTGTCAAATTACCACCTGAAATTCTTTAAATTACACAGAAAGTAGTTGTATATACATTATATATATGTACACACATAATATATATATATTTACATATTTATTATTGTACAATAATATGTGAAATATAATAAAACACACAAAAACAAAATATGACAGTAAGCAAATAAACAGAAAGGATGTGTGCTGCTGAGTTACCATAATGGGAATCTGCTTTTGCTTTAGTAAGGCTGATTTTCACTACCACTCAACCCATGCTTAGAAGGTGATGTGAGGCAGTGGTTGTTATGTTTAGGTCTAGATTTCTCCTCCAAAGTCTTACACAGTCATAGGTGGGGATTTTTCAGAGGTGGCTGGATCTAGAGTGTGTGATGTTATAATTGATTCATGATACAATGTTAGGCTCAAGGCATTACGATTAAGGGTGTGAGTGCTACCCACCCTAAGTATCAAGAATAAGATATAAGGGACAGAAAGTGTTGTGATCTGCTTTTGCTTGCTTTGCTACCTTCTGCCTACCATGAACTGTTCTCTTCTGCCATGTCTTTCTACTATGACACCCTGCCTTGGGGCCAGCAGATTATGGACTGAAACCTCTAAAAACTGATCTAAATAAACCTTTCCTCCTTTAACTCTTGGTGTTGAGTATTTTGTCTCAGCAATGAGAAAAGTAACTAAGACAAGGAGGGTTGTTGCTGTGACTATACTTTACCATATGGTTCAGAAGCCTTTGGAGCTAGCTTGTGAAAAAGGGAAGTGTTATGAAAGGTTTGAAGATGCTGGCTGAAAAAGTACAGCTGGAATGCCTTAGGCTGTACTTGATGGAAGATTCTGCTCAGAGCTCAGAAGACCAGAACGCTTTCAGAAATGATACTGGTAAAGACCAGGTTCATGAGGTTTATGCTGGAAAGAATAGCACTGGGTGTTGGACTTTAGATAATTTGTATTATGGCTTGGCAGAAAAATTGTTTAAATTTTGCTTGTGTCCAAAGACTTTGCCTGAGACTGAGATTAAAGGTGGCAGACTAATTTATTTTTCAGAAGAAATTTCAAGACAGATAATGCTGGGGCAGTGGTATGACTACTGTTGGGGCTTTTAGCCAGATCTATGTTGAAAATCAAGAAGAAAGAGCCCAACAGAATGATTTAACACATTTTGAATTTGCCTAGAAAGGAAGCATCAGTAAAGTTGTGTCTTAAAAAGATGGAACAGAGGAAAGAGGTCACTGAAAAGGTGAGCAAGAAACAGCCATGCATTTCAGAAGAAGACAACAGAAAAGATGGCCTGAGGACATCATAAGACTTCAGCAGGACTCCAGTCTTTGTAGCCTCAGAGTTGACTTTGCTTTGAGAAGAGAGTCCCAAAGGATCATGTTCTAGAATGGTGGCACCCTAGGGAAGTTGTTCTTTGGGGATTGAATCATAGGTTCTTAACCCCTACATCCAAGAAAGAAGGAAGCCTGGCTACTGCCCCAGCTGACAGCAGGTGTTGGTGTCAAGCATGTGATGCTGGTTTTAGGTGCATGCAGAATTCAAGATTTGTGGGGTCAATAAAGCTTCCATCAAATTTCAGAAGAATATCTGGGAGGTCAGGCAATGTGCCCCTGAGAGGACAGTGTGTGAAGCTGTGAAAATGAAGCCAAATTTGCAGTGGACACCCAAATTATGGAGAAGTCAGGAAGGTGGATCATCTGAGGAAAGCTGCAAGGAGGAGCAGAGCTAGCCCAAGAGAGAAGCCATGGGAGCTACAACTACCCCAAGTGCCATAAGGACAACTCAAGTTCTTTGGAAGTCACCTCTTCCCATAAACTGCACCAGATGCTACATGTGGAACTACAGGACTTAACGTTTACCTACAGGATGTAGACTTGCTCTGGTCCCATTCCTTTATATCCTATTTGTACCTTTTAGAATGGTAATGTTTATCATGTGTCATTGTATGTTGAAAGTGTTTACCTTTCTTTTCATTTGTACAGGGCCTCTTATCTAAGAGTTTGCTTTAAATCCTAGGGACTTGTGACTTGGACTTTTCAGCAAGGCTGAAACTGTTAGGACTTTGGCAATTCTTAAAGATGGATTAAGTGCCTTTTGTATAAAGGAATATGCATGAGTCCTTCAGGGGCCAAAGGCGGAATGTTATGGTTTGCAACTAGATGTTTCTGTAAAGCTTCATGCAGTCATAAGGGAAGCTTTTACAAAGGTGGATAGATCCAGAGTGTGTGATACTGGGATAAAGGGTGTGTGATTACTTTATCAGTCCACTGATCCCTAATCCCAGTATTTTAGGGTATAGAAGGCTGAGAGAGAAGCTGCTAAGGTCCCATGCTTGCTTTGCTGCCTTCTGCCTGCCATGAACTCCTTCTCCTCTGCAATGTCTATCTACCATATCTCCCTGCCTTGGAGCCAGCCTATTATGGCCCAAAGCTGCTACAAACTGAGCTTTCTCTCCTTTAACTTTGGGTGTTGGATATTTTGTCTCAGAAATGAAAAAAATAACAAAGACAATGATTAAGTGCACAGACTTTGGTGCCAGCTTGCCCAGGTCATAATTTGTTGTCCCTACACCTACAATGTGAAATAATATAAGTAAGTACTAGCAGTATGTCCAGATCTATCACTCCTAAGTGTAAGTTACTTAGCATTTCTGTACCTCAGTTTCCCTCTCTGTAAAATGAAGATAATATTGTTAACTATTTTGTGCATTAACTTTTACAAAACACTTAATTAGTACCTAGAACAAAGTTAATACTGTGTTAATTAAATTAATACTGTGTTAATTCATATATAATATAAGCCAGATGTGATGGCACATCCCAGTAATCTCAGCTAGTTAGGAGGCAGAGGCAGGAGGACAGCAAATTCATGGAGAGTTTGGGCAACTTATCAAGAGCATTTCTTGAAATAAAAACAGCTCAGGAAACAGTTAGGTGGTAGAGCGCCCTTGGGTTTAATTGCCCTATCTATGTACATATAGAACAATTTTCACTTGGATAGGGTGGCAGAAAAAGCACCAAACAATATCTACATTTTTCTACAATTCTATCCACATTGTTTTCTCTTTTTGTGCTTTTAAGTCAAGGAAAAAAATTATTGTCCAACAAAGGAAAAAAAATCATATTTCACCATTTTTACTTTTCTTTCTCAAAAAATATACAAAAACTCAAAAATTTTTTCCTAAAAAAATCCTTGAGCAAAATGAATGTTGCAAGATGTAGTAGTTCATCCTGTGGGTCTTTATCACCTGCCACTGTTTTACACACCTGCAGTACCCATGCCACTGTATGATGAGCCAACCCTTAGTCTTTTCCTACACAACCCTTTGAACATCAGTACATTCTTAGTAGGCATTAGCAGAGTTGCTTTGAGAAACTAGTAAGACTAAATGAGAACAAAAGAGCAAGAAAGGAGAATCAACTTCTGTACAATATGATTTCACCTGGTCACTGCCCTGCCTCTGATTAGGCACTGGATCCACTGAGGCCACACACATGACCATTTCCCATGCTAATTTGAGTTTTATAAGTGACATGAAAGTAAAGTTTCAAGGAAGCTCAGCATCTCTTACCAGAAACATGTTCTCTTGTCACACAATGGAGAAAAGCAAAAGTGCAAAAAGGTCAACTGGGAAATGACTGCTTCCTTAGGAAAACTTTGTTATCAAATCAGGTTATCTGGGTCCAGATAGATCTTTATTTTCATATGCTATGTTCAGATAAAGTCATACTTGGTATTCAGGAGCCACCGACTCATCTTACACTTAGATAACACTGCAGCATGCACATATTTCCGTGAAACAGAAAGTGTGTCTTGCAAAGAGAAAAGGACTGCATTGATTCCACCTCACTCCACAAAGAATGGCTGCTATCAAGAAATCAAACAATAACAAATGTTGGTGGGGCTGTGCGGGGAAAGGAACCCTTCTCCATTGTTGGTGGGAGTGCAGACTGGTGCAAGCACTATGGAAGTCAATATGGAGATACCTCAAAGATCTGGGACCAGAGGTTCCATTTGACCCAGCCATCCCTCTGCTGGGTATCTTTCCAAAAGAATTAAAAGAATCATACCACAGTGATATATACACACCCACGTTTATAGCAGCACAGTTTGTAAAAGCTAAAACTTGGAAACAGCCCATTTGCCTATCGGTTGCAAACTGGATAAAGATGTGATTTTTCTATAAAAAGGAATACTACTCAGCCATAAAGAATGAGAAATTAGATTCATTCATAGGAAAATGGATACATATTGAGGCTATACTTCTAAGTGAAATAAATAAGTCACACATGTGTAAATACCGAATAGTTTCTCTGGTGTGAAAAACTATAATAGTGCATAAGATCCTAATGAGATAATTGACCATGTGAAATAGGAAGAAAAGGGCTAAAGGTGTAGGAAAAGTGGGAAGGGTATGGGGAAAGGTAATAAGGGAAAGAAAAAAATAGAAAATGAAAAAATGGAAATAAAATGTTTGTAAATGGGGAGGGGAGGAGGGGGTAAAGGCAGGGCAAGGACAAGGGGAAAAAATGAGAACCAAGACCTGTCACATAAAGGTACAAGATCCCAATGATGAATGTAACTGTACTGTATAGCTAAAATGTACCAATAAACTCAATGAGGAAAAAAAGAGAAAAGGACTGCATCAATGTGAAAATTGTGTGGAAATTAGTTAATCTCTCCCATAATTCTTTCAGCTGTGGGCTACATGCTTTGACCCAGAGATGGTCCGCCCAACCCTGGAGAGGACACTGCAGGAACTCCAGCTAGATTATGTGGACCTTTACATCATCGAAATGCCCATGGGCCTTAGGGTGAGTTTGCATGCCTCAGCCTTAGGGCTCTGCCCGTCTGTGACCATGAGCCTACAGCCAAGTACATGCAGTTTGTTAATCCCTTAACACCACAGAATGCTATGGCCTTCGTGCCATAGATTAAAGTGTATTGCATGAGAAATGTCCAAAAGGGTTACATTAGGAGATTTGGGCTGGATCTCAAGTTTCTTGATTCATTTCATTATAATTTATTATTTGTTTGTTTGTTTGTTTGTTTGTTTTGTTTGAAATAGAGGTTGGCTCTGTAGTTCAGGATGATCTTGACTTCACTATGTAGCCCAAGCTGGCTTTGAAGTAAATGAAATCTTCCTGCCTCAGCCTCCAAGTTCTATTACAGGCTTGCACCACCATACCCCTCTTCCAAGTTTCTTAATCTAATTGATTCTTAATCCAATGTAGTTTCTCTTATACCGTGTTCTATTTTTCATAATAGTTTAAACTCCATCGAACCAGCAAGTAGTTCCTTAACTGTGTCCACATTTTAGCTGCCCAGCATCCAAACAACACCTTCTTCCTGTTCACGCAGTCATAAAAATGTCCTTGAAGCAAACAATGCAAAGCAGTATATCTATCAAAAAATATACTCGGCTTCTTCCCCCCAGCCCCCAAGGGAAACAACCTTAAAAAATAGTCAGATGTTTGGAACCAGCTCCAAGGTTAGGATATCTAGATGTTATCTGTTCCTCTAGTTCAAATTCAGTTCTTTCTTGCCCTTTCTCAAGCTATAGATACATTGTTAATTTAACACCTTATACACATGCTGCAGAGTGGTGACTGTTTTAAAATTTGAAGGATTCTGAAACAAATCTGGGCACTTGCCCAGGAGATGACGAAGGTCCTGCTGATTAGGAAGAGTGAGGCCTCTGCCCTGCAGTGGCTAGAGTTCCTTTAGTGGCCGCTGCCCTTGCTTCATTCCCTAGGAGCTTCACTGCTGTCTCCTTTGTGGTCACACCCAATATCCATCACTTTAGGGGAGATTTTCCTTTTGCATCCTACTTCATGGACATGTGGGTTTGGAGCTTCCACAGCTAGTTTCTTATAATACACGTTAACAGTTTGATACGGTTTCAGTAAATTTACATTTAATTGCTCCATAAATGAGCAATTAAAATTAAAAATTTTGTTTTGTCCAGTGTCTTTTATCTAATCCTCAGCCTGCAGGTTTCTGTCTCTTAGAATACAGCCTCCTCCTTCTGCTTATCTGCTAACTCCTTAGCTTATTAGCTTCTGCCTTAGTCTCTGGCTCAAAAATATACATAACTGGAAAAACATATATAAAGTGCTTTTTTTATTCATTAAGTTTATTGGTATATTTTAGATGTGCAATATGATGACATCCATAATTGGGAATTTGTACCTCTATTTTTTGTTCCCATTCCGCTTCCCTCCCTTCAACTCCTCCACCTTCATATTTACAAAGACTTTGTTTCCATTTTTTCTTTTCCTCATATTTTTCTTTTCCCTTCTTTCCTTTCCTCTACTCCTCCCACTTCCCTTTCCCCTTTGGACCTTTTCTTTCTATGTCACATTATCTATTATACATGTTGACCCTTATATACACTTTCAGTTTTCACAGCAGATAAATGATTCCATATTTATAAATGTATGTTAAATGTATTTCATTTAAGAATGTGCATTCCTTTAGCTATAAATGACTCTAGTTTCTCCTTCTTTATGGCTGAGTAATACTCCATTTTATTTTTTTAAAACACATTTTCTTTATTCAGCCTCCAGTTGATGGGCAATTGGGCTATTTATGAGTTTTAGCTATTAAAAACTGTGCCACTCTAAACTTGGGTGCACATATATCACTGTAGTATGGTGCTTTTAATTCTTTTGGAAGATATCCAGCAGGGGAATAGCTGGGTCAAATGGGACCTCTAATCCAAGATTTTGGAGGTATCTGCAAACTGATTTTCACAGTGGCTGCACCAGTCTACACTCCCACAACAGGGGAGAAAGGTTTCTCTTTCCCCACAGCCCCACCAGCATTTGTTATTGGTTCATTTCTTCATAGCAGCCATTCTTTCTTGGGTGAGCTGAAATCTCAGCATCATTTTCATTTTTATCTCTCAAATAACCAATGATGTTGAGCATTTTTTCATGTGTTTATTTGTTATTTCTACTTCTTCATCTGAGAAATGTTTGTTCATTTCAGAAGCCCATGTTTGCAGTGGGTCTTTAAATTTGTGAGGTCTGATTATTCCAAGTTGTTTATTCTAGATTGTAGACCTTTGTCTGAGGAACAGCTGGTAAAAAAAACTTTTTCCCAAATTGTGGGTTGTTTGTTCACTCTGTTGGTGGTTTCTCTTGCTGTGCAGAAGCTTTGGGGGGTACTGGTGATCAAACTCAGTACCTTGTGCTTGTGAGGCAGGCATGTGGGAGTATTGAGCTAAATTCCAGCCCCAGAAGCTTTTTAATGAGATGGGATTCCAGCTGTTGATTCTTTCTGCTAGTTTCTGTGTGACTGAGGTTTTCTTCCTAAAGTCTTTTCCTATGCTGATGTCTTCAAGACTCCTAACTAACCTCTCTTCCAGCCAGTTTAGTGTTTATGTTTTAATATTTAGATCTTTGATCCATTTCAGTTTTAGTTTAGTGCATGGTGAGGGAAACAGGTCTAGTTTTAATCTTTGACAAGTTGAAACCCAATTTTTCTAGCACCACTTATTATAGAAGCTATCTTTCATCCAGTGAGGGTATTTGGCTTCTTTGTCAAAGATGAGGTGGCTAAATACATTTGGATTTGTTTCTGCATCTTCTAATCCATTCCACTCATCCTCAGGTCTGTTCTTTGCCAGTACCATGCTGTTTTATCATAGCATAGTATAGTTGTACTTTGTAGTATAGTTTCAAGTTTGGGATTGTGATACCCCCTGCCTTGTATTTGTTGCCTAGAATTGCTTTTGCTATTCTAAGTCACTTCTTGTTCAAAATGAATTTTTAGATTCTTTTCTCAAGTTCTGTGAAATATGCAGTTGGAATTTCAATTGGCATTGCATTGAATCTATATAGCAGTTTTGGAAGTATGGCCATTTTCACTATATTGGTTCTTCCTATGCAGAGGCAAGGTATGTCTTTCCATTTTCTGATATCTCCTTTGATCTCTTTTTTCAGAGTGCTGTAGCATTCAGAGTAGAGTTGTTTTACTTCTTTCATTAGATTGACTCTTAGATATTTCATTTTTTATGCTATTGTGAAAGGAACTGTTTCTCCAGTTCCTCTTTCAGTGAGTGTTGTTCATATAATGAAAAGCTATTGATTTTTGTGTTGACCTTGTATCTAGCTACTCTATTGAATTTGTTTATTAAGTCTAGAAGAATTTTGGTGGAGTTGTTGGGGTCTTCTATACAGAGTATCATGTCATCTGCAAATAATGACAATTGAACCTCTTTGTTTCCTATCTTTATCCATTTTATTTCTTTCTTTTGTCAAATTGCTGTGGCTAATGTTTCCAAAACTACATTGAACAGGAGTGGAGAGAGAGGACAGGTCCGGATTATATATCCCGGGGACACATGCTTTGTTGAGCTAAATAATTATAGAATATACTGTTCTAAGAGAGGCAGACACAAGGCCTAGGCTCTTCTGGGCAGTTCCTCCCTCCTTCAAAATGTTGCACCCTGAGTATATTCTGCAGCTATTCTTGGGGACTACAAGTAAGAAGGGGGAAGAGTAGTGTCATCCAAGACTATCCAATGACTTGCCCTATACCAGTTTTATTTCCTATTGAGTTTCTTACCTTCTGAACTTGTGTAGCACTGACTTTTCTAATTCTGCAAAGCCCATACATGAACTTTTGCCATCTTCAATGGCAATTAGAACACACATTCACACAACATCATCTTGTGTCTCATTTTAAAAGCCCAATAGAAACAGATACATCTATCTTTCTCATAAGACCTGACTAAAGGCTGCAAAAATGGTCCAAAAACTCACTGTTTTTGTAATAATACCCTAAAACTCTAACTTTAGTTAGCCTACTGGCTGAGTCTCAGAGCAACAATACAACCACATGCTGCGCTACCAATAGAGCAAGAATTGCCAGTTCTCAGCTGAAGGTTGAGAAATTCTCATTGTTCATAATCCCATACTATTCTAAACAATTCTCCATTTTAGACCCATTACATGCAATAGCCCAAAACATCTGTATTATTCTGAATTCTTATTATACATAGCAGAAAGCCAGTTCAAGGGAACAGATAAAGAAATAGAGAATTTGAAAAGGCATCTAATCTAGGCCCAAAAGTTCAAACTATGTATTTCCACACTAGCTCTTTCTTAATCTTCATGATATAGTTTTCATCCTCCTCAAAAATCTTCATCTATAATAGAAATCGACTAGGCTTCACATATCAAGCCTACAATATCAATATAACTTGAAAATTCAGAGAAAGCAAAATCACACATTAAACCTCCTGGAGAAATACTGATTCACCTGTTTGAGTCACTGCTTATTCTTCAGTCTATATAACCATGAAAGAGAGCTGAGAAAATCTAGGCAAACAGCATGGGCTGAGTTTCACTGGACAGGAAGACATAAGGATAGTATAAAACAAGGGAGATTTCCACTGAGCTCATTAATTAGATGTCACTTAGTGGCCAATGAATCCCATCTCTGTATCATATGAGCCTCACAGTGTGTTCAAGTCATAGCTAGTCTCTCTCCCACATTGCCAAAATTTGGTGCAATAGAAAGAGTACAGGCTTTAGGGTCACCCAGAAAGGAAATGACATTAGGCTTCATTACTTTCTAGAATAGTGACTTTTGTTGTTTTGAATTTTTTTAATTGACAGTTTTAATATTTGTAAAATGGAGACAATAATAACTAACAAGGCTGGGGACATAGCTCACTGTGGTACAGCACTTGCCCAGCATGTGTAAAGCCCTGTGTTTGATCTTCAGCAGTAATCATCATCACATCATCTTACAGAGTGTTATGAGGAGTCATTAAAGATATATGTAAAGTTATTGACATGAT